TTACCAAATAAGATATGGGAGAAAACACAACAGCAAATATTTAAAGGTGTTTTTACATTATCGCACAAATCTTTTTCTAGTTTTAAGTGTGTTTCTCTACAAGGTACTATGAAAACTGAGTGAAGAATCCAGCACAGCAGCAGATAACTATGAGGTTTGATTAAGAAACTCTTCTTTCCCTGCTGGTGTGGCTCAGTGACTGAGCGTCAATCCTGCACCAAGAGGTCACTGGTTCAATTCCCAGTCAGGGCACATGCCCAGGCTGTGGGCCAAATCCCCAGTAGGGGGCATGCAGGAGGCTGCCAATCAATGTTCTCTCTCATTGATGTTTCTATCTCTCTCCCTCTCCCTTTCCTCTCTAAAATCAGTAAAGAAAAAAAACAAGAAACTCTTCTTGAGAGGAAAATATTTAGATTACCAAGAAAATTTGGAGAAAAGCTTCACAGGCAGAACAGGTGTATTCTGCACCCTGAAACCATGGCCATCCACTGCGGACAATTCTTCTACGCAGTTCCTCCTCACGTAGCCGTGGTGGAAAGACCTACTCAGATGAAACAGGGCCTTCACTGCTGCTCCCGCAGCTTCCTGTTCTGTGGGTGATTCCCAGCTTTTTCATCCCTCTAGATTCTAGACCCTGGAAAGAAGTCTCGGTCTCACCTGAATTTTTCATAGTTCAGTATGCTCCACATGTAAGCTCCTGCCTACTCAGAGTTCTTTCCTCCAGCATAATTTTTCTAAATACTCTCTTAAAAAAAAAAAAATCAGGGGCCAAGACTGGGACTCACTTATACTGTAGTGACATCATAATTTCCTCTCCTTGTTACACAGTATAAGCTCTCCGCACCTGTGCCCAAGCCGCACCCATGCGCCCTCATCAGAACCGCACAGCACTTCCGTTTTCTCCCAGCCTGACCTCCTTCCCGTGGCCATGGCATCGTCCGGACAGACAACCTCTCCTCCCCATTTGTGGGCTTCCCTTGCTCTGCCCAATTCTGTTACTAGTCCTGGGGAAACATTCTCCCCTTCTGAGATTTTTAAGCACTTCTGCCTGAATATTCTTTTGGAAGCAGAGGAATAAAGTATGAAAGTAAAGAGAGAATGAAGAATAGTGGCTTAAAGTTCGAACTTTTGAGTATCACTGTTTTGGAAGCGTGGCTCACATACCATTAGCTACTTGATTCAGGAAGGTGATTTGGTGCCTCTAACATCAATTTCTTTACCTGAGAGTCAAACAGAGAAAATAATAGTACCTACCTCATGTTTCCTTGATGATTGGATGAAACGCTGCCTGTAAAATCTTTGGCACACTGAGCTACTCAATCAACGTGTGCTGATATTGTGATTCCCACAGTGGTGGCAGTAACTGCACTCAGCACATTCCAAGACGAGTGTCTCAGTTCCTCCAAGAACAATGTCCAAGCACATCTACAAAGCTCCTTTGACTGAGAAGATGATAGACATTGATTCTCCTGGTGGTCATCATTAATATTTATCAACTTTCAAAGAGAGAGATTTGCTTTAGAAATATAATATTAAGATAGTATTGGAAATGATTATCATATATTAAATAAAACGAAAGGTTACTCAAAGCATCTCTTTCACTTGGGAGTAACCATTTCACACTCCGGGCATTCAGGAGGATGTGTCTGGTTTGCCGAAACCTCCCTTCACGGCCAGGATGTGCTGTATGGGCCTCCCGTCCTGGAAGTGACTGGGCACACTTACTGTTCAGGAGCAAGCATCTAAACCCATAACCCTGAGAGTCTGACATGCTTAGCTTCACAATGTCCGAAAGCCTAGAATCTTCTCCTGCGCTTTCACTAGCAGGATAGAGAAGGGAGATAAGAATGAAATGTGTTCACCAACTGGATGTCTGGACAGACTTATGTCTGAGGCATGACTGTCTGCATGAACACACAGCCAACAGACGCTACAGCTGGGTTACTGGCAACAGGAGCTGTAGCTGGGAGTTACTAGGCAACAGGAGCTGTAGCTGGAGTTACTAGGCAACAGTGGCTGTAGCTGGAGTTACTAGGAACAGTGGCTGTAGCTGGAGTTACTAGGAACAGTGGCTGTAGCTGGAGTTACTAGGAACAGTGGCTGTAGCTGGGCTCCTAGGCAGACCCCACCCCTGGTTTCCCTTAGTTAACAGAAAATGCAGTGCAGGAATGAACCCAGCCCAGGAGTGCTGAGAGTGCAAGGCTGGAGGACCCAGTTCTGTCACTGTGACCTGGACTACGGTCAGCTTTAGCAGCGTCTCTGGGTGGAGATCTGAGGGGACAGGTAAAATGCCCCACAATGGTAGGCACAGTGAACGTAAACCCCATCCAATGGCATACAGAGTTGCCGCTATTTTTGCAGAGTTCTCAAATTACAAAAATGAAAACTCCATTTTAATCCTTTTGAGTGGTCTTCTAAGGAATCTCAAGTGAAAATGAAATAAACCACAGTATCCATGGTTCAAAAAGACAAGAGCTGTGCTTATCCCTGCTTATTTCAGGAAGACAGTGAGAGCAAGGGGCCTCTGGCGAGCAGTCCCCAACGATGACGGGATGACCGAGACCAGAGCACGCACCCGGCAGAGCACCGCTCTCTGCGGGGACAGGACTGAGGCCAGTGGTGGAGGGACCACAGCAGAGCGGCACAGTAGGGAGCTGACCGTGTCTGACCTCAGTGTAAGGCTGGCACTGAGGCGGGGCTACACTGGGGTGAACCGGTCTATGAAAGGTTTGCTCTTGCTCTGCGGTGGAACGACAGCATCACTTGAATGATGCGCTCACCAAAACTGCATGTTCAACCAGCGATCTATTTTTATGTGTTAATGATATGACTTTACATATTTTATTGAAACACTGAGAGCTTTCAGTTCAGTGGCTGAGTACGCAGGGCTCACTACAGTCAATATATGCAAAGCGCCCCATGCACTGGCTATTAATAGGAAGATTTTAATGTGATATGTGCCTCTCCACCTCAGACACTTAGCAATCATGAGATTAGCTAGGGTTTTTCACACCATCTGCACCTAACATCCTCTTTCCAGTGTGTGTGTGTGCAAGTACTTCCCTCCATGTCCACGGTACGCCTGGTAGTCAACCATGGCATTCCATTTCTTCAATGTTTTTACTGATTTTATAGAGAGAGGAAGGAAGAGGGAAATAGAACCATCGATGAGAGAGAAACATTGATCAGCTGCCTCCTGCAGGCCCCCTACTGGGGATTAAGCCTAATACCCAGGCACGTGCCCTGACTGAGAATTGAACCAGTAACCTCTCGGTGCATGAGATGACGCTCAACCAACTGGGCCACACTGGCGCGGTGATAATAACATTCTTTACATCTGAACAGGGCTTGATCTCAGATTTAGTCTCAGATTTACATTCAGGGAGCCAATTCCAATCAGTCAATTGGAGGTAGCATGCAAAATAAAATAGATTTTTCATCCCTTGACTGGACAGAGGAATGGAGAGAAACACAAAGGAACAAATACTTGAACATGTTATACATTTCATTCTGAAGGTACTTAGATGCCTGATTCTGCTCTTTACTGTAGAATTAACCACCCCTGGAAGCACTCAACAAACATCAGCCCGACTTTTAAAGGGAAAAAGGAGCCTGTAAGTTCAACACAACTGATGTGTCCCTTCCCTCTGCCCCACTGCAACCAAGTAAACGAACACGCCACATGCACACATCTTGTGAGCCAACTTCAAAGTACATCACTATACATTTTGCATCTGCATAAATACACTGAGAAGTTAGCTAAAATCACTCCACGAGAACTTCACATTAGTCTTTCAATGATCCCCACGTAAATGCCCAGTCTATTTTTCTTTTGAACCCTAGAACTGTGCTGTCTGTGCTTTCCCCCTCTGCCACTCTAGCCCCCCCAGAACCCCAGGCATGCTCCTGGGGAAGGACGTGTGGGCTCACTCCCATGACTGTCGCGAAGACTCCGTAACCCTTTCAAGGGATGTTAAAGTTCTGACTAGAGACTTTTACTTCAAACCAAAAACAGTGGGTTTCTTAAAATGGAATTCTAAATCCTTTCGCAAATTTCTGAGAAGGGATTTGTTGTTGTTGTTAATCCTCACCCTACAATATTTTTTCCATTTTTTAGAGTAGAATGGAGGGAGGGAGAAAGGAAGGGAGGAAAAGAGAGAGAGAGACAGAGAGACAGAGAGAAACATTGATGTGAGAGACACACATCCATTGGTTGCCTCCCGCATGACCCCGCAACTGGGGCCAAGGATTAGACCTACAACCCAGGTACATGCCCCTGACAGGGAACTGAACCCTAACCCTTTGGTATGTGGTCCAATGCTCTAACCCTGAGCCAACCAGCCAGGGCGATATTTATATCCCTGCCCTTCCCCCTCACATCTTGGTAACCACCAGACAACCATTAAAGGTGGTTGAAAAATGGCAAAACTGTTATACTCATGGAACTGAAACACAGAAAACATGGATAAATGCCAACAGTGCTTAGGCCCGATGGATCTGATCAAATATTGAGGTGTGTGCTACAGGGCATAAGCGTAGTACAACTTAATGTGAAAGAGAAAATGAAGAAGAAGAATGGACTTGTCAAAAGTCTGGCCCCCAAATGAAAGACTCAGAATCCAGGTGCCTGAGCAAGTTGGAGTGATTGGGGTTAGCACTAGTATACAGCTGAATATGTTACTAACTCCTTCATGTAACAAAATCCACTTATGAAATGACTCTCATGTCTCTCCGTTTTGGACTTGCTGACCTCTGCTGACCTCCGATGACATGGGAAGGTTCTTCTATCCAGTAGCCCTGGGGCTAGGACTTCACCGCTGCCGCAAAACACATCACCTCCTAAGATGACCGTATACCAGCACTGATTCCTCTGTGTTAAGAGTCCTGATCCATGACTCAGCCGACCTCTCCACCTAATTCCCCCAGAACCACTGCACCGGAAACTCGGAAACTTGTGCTGCCTCCCAGAGCAGGGGAGTCAGAGCCCACACAAGTGCCCCATGGCTCCTGGGGAGCAGCTGGAGGCGGGGCCCACGCTCCCTGGGTACAAACGGTGCGCTCCTATGGGTAGGGCACCCTTCCAGAGCGGACCAAACGGCTCTTGTTTCCAAAGGGACTTGCCCCAAGTAGGTGGGCATACTCTGGGCACACAGCGGCCTGTGCCCCGGCTGGCGGTCCGAACCAGACCATGCACTGGGGCCCTGCCGCTCTTTTCCTTAATTTTTTTTTAATCCTCACCTGAGGATACTTTTCCCAATTATCTTCAGACAGTGAGAGGTGGGGAGAGAAACACTGATATGAAAGGGACACATCGACTGGTCGCCTCCCACACGACCCCGACCAGGGCTGGCCCGAAAGCGACTGTGGTACGTGCCCTTGACCGGAACCACCCACCCGCGGGCCGACACTTTCACCACTGAGCCAAGCCGGGCACCTCGACTGACCTCTGTGCCCTTTGATGTCCCTGAGCTTCCCTTAGGGACCCAGCTGCGACCACCGGGCAGGTAACAGCTCTGGGAACCAAGTCCGCAAGCTCCAGGTGCCGGGCATCTGTCTCCCGGCTCGCCCTCCCGGTCGCCCACCTCCCCTGGGCCACCCTTCTGCCCGTCTACCAGGGACTGGACGTCCTCTCCCCGCCGGCCGCCCATCAGACTGTCTACCAGGGACTGGACGTCGTCTCCCCGCCGGCCGCCCATCAGACTGTCTATCAGGGACTGGACGTCGTCTCCCCGCCGGCCGCCCATCAGACTGTCTACCAGGGACTGGACGTCGTCTCCCCGGCCGCCCGCCGGACTGTCTACCGGGACTGGACGTCGTCTCCCCGGCCGCCCGTCGGACCGTCTCTCGGGACTGGACGTCGTCTCCCCCCGGCCGCCCGCCGGACCGTCTACCGGGACTGGACGTCGTCTCCCCGGCCGCCCGCCGGACCGTCTACCGGGGACTGGACGTCGTCTCCCCGCCGCCCGTCGGACCGTCTACCGGGACTGGACGTCGTCTCCCCCCGGCCGCCCGCCGGACCGTCTACCGGGGACTGGACGTCGTCTCCCCGGCCGCCCGCCGGACCGTCTACCGGGACTGGACGTCGTCTCCCCCGGACCGCCCGCCGGACCGTCGACTCGGGACTGGACGTCCGTCTCCCCGGCCCGCCCGCCGGACCGTCTACCGGGACTGGACGTCGTCTCCCGGCCGCCCGGCCGGACCGTCTACCGGGACTGGACGGTCGTCTCCCCGGCGCGCACCGCCGACCGTCTACAGAGGACTGGACGTCGTCTCCCCGGCCGCCCGCCGAACGGTCTACCGGACTGTGACGTTCGTCTCCCACGGCCGACGCCGTCGGACGTCTCTCGGGACTGGACGTCGGGTCTCCCCCCGGCCGCAACCGCCGGACCGTCTACCGTGACTGGACGTCGTCTCCCCGCGCCGCCCGGCCGGACCGTCTACCGGGGACTGGACGCGTCGTCCCCGGCCGCCCGGCCGGACCGTCTACCGGACTGGAACGTCGTCGTCCCCCCGTCCGCACCCCGACCGTCTACACCGGGAAGCGGGACGTCGATCTCCCCGGACGGCCCGTCGGAACCGTCATCCTCGGGACTGGACGTCGTCTCCCCCCGGCCGCCCGCCGGACCGTCTACCGGGACTGGACGTCGTCTCCCCGGCCGCCCGCCGGACCGTCTACCGGGACTGGACGTCGTCTCCCCCGGCCGCCCGCCGGACCGTCTACCGGGACTGGACGTCGTCTCCCCGCCGCCCGTCGGACCGTCTCTCGGGCCTGGACGTCGTCTCCCCGGCCGCCCGCCGGACCGTCTCTCGGGCCTGGACCCTGCTGCCGGCCGCGTTCCCGCCCTCAGGACCGGGCACCGACACACGCGCGTGGCCCAGGCCCTCGGAGGCCGTACCTGCGCGGAGGGCCGTCCGGGCTCCAGGACACTGCGCAGGAGGCAGCTTCGCACCAGGCGAGGCGGGAAGATGGCGCAGCGGAAGCGGACCCCGTCCCGCGGCCGGAAGTCCCCGCCGCCGGAAGTCCCCGCCGCTGGAAGTTCCCGCCGCCGGAAGTGGTGGCAGAGCCGGAAGTTCCCGCCGCCGGAAGTTCCCGCCGCCGGAAGTGGTGGCAGAGCCGGAAGTGGGCCGCAGAGCCGGGCTCCAGTGAGCCAGGAGAAGGCCCAGGGCGCCTGCCACCAGGTCGGAGGGAAGCCCTGCCGCTGCCCCGCTGCCCCGCTGCCCCGCGGCCCCGCTCTGCCCTGAGCTCCTGAGCCTGCGACCTACACACCGCTGCCTCCGCGCTGGGGGGCGCCGCTCTGCAAGCGGCCCTTGGACCTCGGAGCCCTTGGACCTCGGAGCCCTTGGACCTCGGAGCCCTGTGACCCCAGGGCCCTTTGACCTCGGAGCCCTTGGACCTCGGAGCCCTTTAACATCGGGGTCTTTTGACCTCGGGGCTCTTTAACCTTTGAACTCTATGCCCTTTGAACACCGGGCCCTTAACTGCAGGGCCTTTAAGCTCGGCGTCCCGGCGCCCGGACCTCGCTTGGGGCTCCCGCGGGCCCGGCCACTGGTTTCCAGCCAGGTTTGCCCAGCGCCTGTGTCAGGCCAAGGTCTCCGAAGTCTGATGTGGCTCAGCCGTTTGCTCTGCAGGGAGAAGCTCAGGAACTTGGGGCTGGGGAGGGCCCTGGGGAGACCCGGCCCCTTCCCCGCTGGCTCCCACGGGGAGTCCTCCCCACGCAGGTGCGCAGGAGCCAGTGGCTGGTGCTCCGCTTTCTCAGAGGGTCTCGTTTCCTCTGCAGCGGGACGTGCGCGGTGGCCTGGGAGCGGGGGGCTCATCCGGAAGGGGAGCCCCTCATTTTTGGCATTGTGACTTCAGTGGACAGCGCCTGGGACGGCCGGGGTCACGACACCCACTTCTTAGCGCCCCTGACGCTGGGCTGTCACAGTAGGTCCGCGGGGAGACCTCTGAGAACGTGCACCCCAAACCTGGGTTCCTAGACAGTTCCCCACCCAGACTCCCTGGCTCCTTGCCCCACAAGTTAGGGAATCACAGTCACAGTCTGCGCTCTGCCGGCCTTCCTGTTTCTAAGTAATCCCCACCTGGTCTGGTCCCCACCTTCCATTCCAGTTACATTCGAACAGAGTTGAGTAGCATCCTCCCCAGTTCAAGGTCTGCCTAGAGCTCAGGATGTGACCCTATTGGAAAGGACAGTGTTTTAAGGTGAAATCAGGTAACATGTGGTAATACTGCATTAGGGTAGGCCCTGTGGGGACCCTGGGAGACCAGGAAGAAGGTCTGTGACCCTGGAGGCAGCGTTTGGAGTGGCTGGTCACAAGCCAAGTGTCACCAACAATTTCTGGAAACCGCAGGCTCTAGGGAGAGGCTGGAGAGAGAGCACGTGGGGTTGGACCCGTGGTTTCCCGAGCTGGGAGAGGATGGATGATATTATCCTGAGCTAACCCAGAAGGGGAATGTGACAGTAGCACGAGGCAACCAGCACTCTTGTTTTAATTTTTATTATACTCATCCAGGGATATATTTTTTTTAAACATTGATTTTGGAGAGGGAGGAAGGGAAAGAGAGAGAGAGAGAGAAACATCAATCGGTTGCTTTCCCTAGGCACTGGATCGGGGATAAACCCGCAACCTAGGTATGTGACCTGACCAGGAATGGAACCCTTGACCTTTGAGCATTGATGATGCTCCAACCAACTGAGCCACCTGGCCGGGGCAGACCCAGCACTTTTAATGGGTACCGGTATCTGGTGCTTATCTGGGAACACTTTGTGATACCTTGTGCTTAGTCTGTGTCCTGTGATAGCTGGCATGTGTCTCTCAGGGGCACCTGGTAAAGAATATCTCTCTACACCCTGCAGATGGCCTAGCTCCACCCCCGATGTCTCCCCAGCTCTGCTCAGAAGCATCAGTGACCCTGCACTTCTGCACAGGAGGAGGAGAGGAGATGCACCATATTTGCCTCTTTCATTGAAAACTCCAGCCAGGCACGTGTTGAAGGAGAAGGCGGTCATTCTGTCTGTGAAGGTATGACATATGTTCTGCAAAATTCCACAGAAACAGTTGGCTGCTGAGCTCCCTGAAATGAGATACATTTCTGTGGGTTTCCTTTATTCATGAAGGTGTGTTTCTGAGGCAACCAGTTCGGTCTTGTTCCTGCTTCCTGCCTGGGTTGTCGTCCGGTGTGAGGTTTATTGTCCTGAATAAACACTGAGCTCCTAGGATCTGCTCGGAAAGGCCACAAGCAGTTTCGGAGCTGGTGTCTGAGGTCTGGAGTATTTTCTAGTTCCCTTGCCTGTTGGCTGACTTGTGCTCACTCAAGTGTGGACATAGTTTCCACGTCCTGGAGAAAGTGTCCCTGGTGTCCTGAGCCGGGGCTGCTCAGGGCTGGTTCCATAGTGGCAATTTTAATTGCTCATTTACTCGTTTGTCTCTCCTACCGGGCCATGTGCACTCTTCCTGTCGCCTGGAGAAATGATGGCAACATGGAAGCACCATGCACACCTCCGGGAGAGGAGGGACACACTGGTCCGCGGGGCACACCTCCGGGAGAGGAGGGACGCACTGGTCCGCAGTGCGGAATAACAGGGAGGCCTTTGGCCTGCCTGGAGTAGACCTACGTGCCATTTTCTGGGCCACACGTAATAAAAACGGAAGAAACGTTTTGTATCCGCGGTGCCATTGCTGACTGTATTTGTCTAGACGCTTGCCCTTAAAAGGACAATAACACCCCTTCACACCCACTAGGATGGCTGTTGCAAAAAAAAACTAACAGCACTCCTCCCCCCAAGAACCTGAAAGGAAGACGTGCTAGGAAGAATGCGAGGAACCTGAGAAATGTCCATTGCTGGTGGAAATGTAAATGGCACCACCTCTGCGGAGAATGGCGTGGTGGTGCCTCCATTTAAAATTAAAGCACCACTCCTAAGTGTACATCCAGAAGGAGCGAAGCAGGGACTCAGAGAGGCATTCGTACTTGCATGTGCATAGCAGTGTTACTGCCCAGGTGTCCGCTGATCAGTGAGGGGATGAACACAATGCGGTCTGTGCCTGCAGTGGAACATTATTCAGCCTTGAAAAGGAAGGCCATTCCGACACATGCTCCAACAGGAAGGACGCCTGAAAACAGTGCTCAGTGGAATAGGCCCGCTAGAGGGCACGTACTGTATGGTTTCACTCACCTGAAGTACTCAGAGTGGTCACACTCACAGACACAAACTAGAATGGGAGTGCCGCAGGGGAGAGGGCGGGGGGAGGGGACGTTACTGTTTAATGGGAATAGAGTTGAGTTTGAGTAGTTGAAGAATTCCGGAGATGGATAGTGGTAGTGGCTGCATAACATGTGAATGGACTTACTGCCACTGAAGTCTACACGTAGACATGATGAAATGGCCTGGCCGGTTTGCTCAGTGGTTAGAGCGTCAGCCTGAGGACCGAAGGGCTGAAGTTCATCCCTGGCCCCAGCTGGAGTTGTGTGGATGCAACCAATGGATGTGTCTCTCACATCAGTTTTTCTCTCTACCCCCTCCTCCCCTCCCTTCCACTCTCTCTAAAAATCTAGAGAAAAATATTCTCAGGTGAGGATTAACAGCAACAACAAAAAAGATTAGATGGTAAAATTTATGTTATGTATATTTTTACCACGATTAAAAAATTGAAAGGACAGTAGTAATAGAGCATCATCAAAATTTCTGATTTATCGATTAACTGTTTGCAGGAAGGTCCCTGCAGGTATCCATCCCCAGCACCTAAGTGGGCTGGATTCTGTGCGTCTCAGTAACACAGTGAATAGTGACAAAGTGGTCAATTTACTAATAATGTTTCCCCAGTACCCGGAGGTATCTTGAGCTCACCTTCGAGGAGGCTGTTACAAAGGCACATTGCGGAAGGTGCTGAGTGAATGCGATGTAAGAGAAGCTGAGCAGAGCTCCCTCCTGTCTCCCAGGTTCCTGGTTCGTGACGTGTGGCCTGCACTGTGGCTGTCTGAGTGCTGACACCCTGTCATTAGACTACTCCGCACGAAAAGCTTAACACTGAAATGTGAAGTTTATGTTTCTCAATTTTCCACATGAAATAAGTTCCTGAGTTGTTTAAACATAAGCCAAGACAGTCTAGGGAATAATTTGAAATAAATATTGAGAAAGAGAATTCATTTCAATGGAGTTAATTCTGCCAGAAATGGATAGCAACAAGATATTTAATCACCACATATCCCGTGAATCCACTCGGAACTGCTGGCGTGGGAGACTAGACAACTCCCATAAATCCGAGGCCAGGGTCATGCTCAGGGCCTCTGCCCTTACGACAGATATTGGCCTTAGGACTTGGGCAGTTTATAAAACCCCTTCTCTTATTATGATGTTTTATACATGAGTCAGTACAAGGAATCTGTAAATCAATTAAGTTCGCCACAATGGTCTTCTAGTCCTTTTCTTGAGGAAATATGAATATTGACATTTTAAATCTAATATGATTATTTTTAGGTTAATCTGTTGCTTGGAAACCTACTTTCAAAGACCGACTCGTGAATTTTCAGTAGGGAGTGGCCCCTTTATCATATCAGAGACGCCCAGCGTCTAGAGTCTGTCCCTTCGAGTGCTAAGGGAGAGAGGCGAAGACCGTCACCTCACCGGAGGCAGCCACAGTGGCCCGGGGGACATGCAGCCTGGGCCCTTCCCCGAGCGGAGAGGGGCAGTAAATCATCTGATACATGTCATGTAGAAGTTACAAAGCTTTCTCCATCAAAAGCTTAGAAAACTAAATTAAAATCATATATCTTATCCCCACTCCAGTAGGTAATATAGCCTCAGTAATGAAATAAAGTCCATGAACAGATTTCCAATTAAATTCCTCATTGTACGAAAATAAAAATCATAGAAATAATACAATTTATTACATGATTTGTCATCAAAAATGCTGCAGTAAAGCTTATATACACTTGCATGACTTAATAAATCTTTACCCCAAAGTAAACAACTTACAGAATTAAAACTCCTCTGTGTAAAGAGTGCAGTAATTTATTGCATCATGTAATACCCACAAAAGCTAAATAAAAGTTACCTTTACATATCTATAGTCTCTAATGCATTTTAGGAAAGAAAAAAAGAAAAAAAAAACTACTTATTCATAAAGATCAAGCTGGCAAATATAACTATAAGTATATTTTCTTACTTGAGAACATATCTTCAGAGAAAATATAAACAAAGCTACAGCCGCAGAATGTGCATATTAAATTATTTAAATAACAC